AAGTTCTGCTGCATTTATAAATAATCTCTCCAAGACAACATCCTGACTCCACCAATTAATAATTCACAAATAACAACCTCATGCAGCTAAAATAACTAGCTGTAAATACAGTCTTCCGGTTCTAAACAACTTCTTAATTTACTCATCTTCACGTGAAAAATTAAAAGTGAAAGCCAAGCTAAATAATTTTAATTCCTTCAAGATAATTTTCTTCACAACTTTCATTAGCCCGAGTTTAAAAACAGACAATAAATCACGATGTGTTGTCAGAGGAGCAGTTTGAAAATTGTTTGAATTTTTCTCACGAAAGTATTTTATTTTTTTAAATGTTGGCATAGACGCTAAAAATATATTTGTGTATACAATTTAAAGTTATCAGCTGTTTGCGGAAATACACAGCATTTTATAGCTTCTTCTTCCTTCATGCGGCTTCAGATGTCTGCAGAAAAATTTCCTATAAACGAAATTTTGAATTTTTTTTGGCTTGGTTCGTAAAATTTTTATTTCAATTAAATTGTATCTCCAATAATGAACGCAGAGATAATTAAGAATGAAAAATTTAAAGAGTAAATAGTCGATGTATCATGTTACCATTTAACATTATTATCATCATTATTAAAGGGGATGCTCGGAGCATGCCAAACACTTCATTATTTTCCAATGTTGACGATATCAATCAATAAAATTTTGCGACAATTATACACTAACATAAACATGTGCAGTTTCATTACCGCATCAATTCTAACCGCAATTTCAATTTTACCGATGTACAAACATCGATGAGCATGCACATCATGATGGACTTTAAAACATACACAAATTGTAGAGTGGATAATGATAATGTTTAGTTGGTTTACTTTAGGGCTTTTTTTTTCTCTCATTGCGAAACTACCAGCGACTGCTTTTTTGATTATGGCATGAACAATTCAATTTTTTTTTTGAAAATAATTTGGGTGAAATTATTACGGGTTGTGAAAAATTGTGGAAAGATAAAAATTATTTTTTGAACCAGATTTAATGATGTCAGGAAGGTAATGGATATTGATATTGAGTATGTGAATTATATCTGAATAATATGAATGAAATTTTAATGTTTTGTTGGAATCACGTTACAAGACCACCCGATTGAGTTACTTTGGGGAGGATGCACTTAAATGATGTGTAAGATTAAGAGCAGTGCTGAGAAGGCTGAATGATGCGATCACCCGTGTGTATCATGGGAAGTTTTCAGGTATACTTAAAATATTTTTTGAAGCGTCTGGTACAGCACTAGATGTTGACACGATTTTCTTTCGGCAAACTACGAGTTGATAGAGCTTTAGGTCGGTTTCTTGGTTTCCCTGGTGTACCCTCCTACTCTAGTCATAAACAAAACTAGTTTAAAGCTCAAATTATAGCTCATATGTTCAAATTCAAGAGCTGGTTGTCTTAAGTAGCTCTAGAACTAGCTTTTATTACACAATAAGACAGATCTGATGGAAAAATTTCCAAATATACTAAGAGTAATGTCGTGAGGATTGTGGGAATCCTTACTATAATGATTGATAGATCAATCTCTGGTGAGAATCGAACCCACGTCCTCACAAAAGAGTGATACTGATATCTGGTCTGTTGCCTGACCACTCGCACCACAGAGGCTTAACTCTCGCACTCGCAGATTTGCCATTATAAGGTTCGATACCCCAGATTCCACTCTGCCCCGACACCACACTAAGCAAGACATCAATTCTTTATTTGCTGCAAAAAAATTTGTTCCCTAAATTATGTCACGATGCAAAGGATGTTGTTCATCAATGAATTAGAGAAAAAAGACTTTAATGACAGAAAGGGATGCGAGCGGGTCCAAAATGCAACATCATATTGTACCTCACTTATAAATAACTCCTATTCTTATCTCCTTCAGTTCCTCATCTTCTCATCCTGCATCAAATTGATTCACAATTCATTCTTATCTCATCGAAGACATTTGTTAATCCAAAAAGTTCTGACTAATTCTTGCTTTTTTTAATGTCGGTCGTCCATACTCAAAAACCAGTTAATTTATGCAAACTTTTTAAACAACACAATTCTTGCAGAACAGCAAAACATCCTCAAATTTATTCAATCGTTTAACAATTTTATTTTTAAATGTAGCACAGTCAGATTTTATCAAATAACATACATTGCCGCATGTATATTCATAAATTTTCATATTCTTCCGATAAATCCAGCCAGAATATGTGAGAAGAAAGAGTTCTCAGCCGCATATGAATCATCAAATTGGTCGTAAAAATAAAGCAGCGGTTGGTTCTTTCAGCATTTTCTCGACATTAAGCACGTTTGAAATTAATTTTTTTTTTCGTTAACTTCGTTTTGTTAATGTGACGGGATGAAGAAGATGAAAAAATATTGAAATTATTGCTCTTTTTTGGTTAACCACAAATGCTGGAACAGTATTGTACGAAAGGGGTTATGGATTGAAATTTTATTGCGTGTTGCAGTTCTTGAACAGATTGATTGATTGATCTTAAAATTTGGAAGAGGATTGTAGTGAAAATTCTTATTTTTGGATGTTGTAGATTGGATATTTGAATTGGAATTACATGTTTTGGGTTGATTGACAAGTTTGTGAGTAGCAGTGACATTTGTTTGTGTAGTTTGAGCTTTATATTGTTGTTTTATGGTTTGATCGTCGTTAATGATCCAAAATATCCAAAAATAATGCTCAGTAGTATCTAAGTGAGCACCTGAGTGCACTCTCGTACTGCCAAGCATACTCTCAAGATCATAGTGATACTGAACATGATCTTTGTACTCTAAAGCAGTGTTATCCAACCTTTTTGAGCCACGTCACATCTGATAGATAAGCCATGACTGGAGTCGCACACAGTATCCGGCTCGAGTCAGTTTCAAAAAGTTTCTACAGCCTACTAGTGTGCCATGGCACACAGTTTGGATAACACTGCCCTAGAGGATAATTAAGACTTGAATTTTATTATATTTGAACTGTAGCATAATAACAAATCATGCAAACCTAAATGATCATTTATCATGCTCAGCAGTTCCTTTAAAAAAAATGAACATGCCAAATCAGAAGTGGCACTGTCTTAATCTTGTCGAATTCAAACTAAAAGTGTTTTTGCAAGCTTTTGTGATATTCAAAAATAAATGACCAGCTTGTAAGCAAATGCTTGTCTGTTAATGCAAATTTAGAACTTTATTTTGCTTAATGCCATTTTAAAGCACATCCACAGGTCCATAAATTCTGTTCATTCTCGGAATCACTTCATAAATCCACAACAAATTGACACAAGTCTTTCAACTCTTATTATCTGTCTGAGTCTCAAACCCTTTTATAACATTTTCAAGGCTTTAACAAATGCGATTTTACTGACATAATGCTGACTGTAAAAATAAAAGTTTTATTGCTCTCTAAAATTCACGATAAAGCCTTTTGCTGTTTTCTCCTTATTGAATCATTTCTTGTTAATTCTACACCTACACGAGAAGCAATCGAGTTTGTTATGAATTTGAACAAAAGTATCTACACAGACTCCTTAAAGATGCAATATTAAATATTTATTTTAGAAACATAAATTATAGGAATAATATTTTAACAAAAAAGTAGATTTTTTTTGGCAGAATTATGAACCTACAGACACACATTACTACAGCTAATGCATTTTCAATGCCAAAATCTTTTCAAATGGAATTAAATATTTACGATGTGCTGATTGTGCAGAGACTCTTTTTTTCTAAGCACTTGAAGTGAAATTTATAGCATTGAGAAGATGTGATGAAATTTAATTTCTGTGATTTCATGAATTTAAGTATATTCTATTTCATTTGAGGTTAAAGGCTTCAGCTGCCATTGCTAGTATTTAATGACGCAATTCAGATCCTTAAAAATTCAGCATCCATCAAAATTATTGCAAATAATTAAATCTCCAATTTATAATTGAGCACAATATTAATTAAAATGAAATATGAGAAGATCCATTATATCCAATTTGTGCGGTTACATGAGTGCAATTGTTTACAGTATAAACTTTACCATATCGACACGATAATCAATGGTCGAAGATTGTGGCCTTGGAATATCTAAATGTAATTGAGATGATTTTTTTTTCGTGGTTTCGAAAGAATTAATGCTAGTTTGGTTGATATTATTGAAGCTTAATGGTTGATTCGAAAATTGAGTCTTGAATTCTACTTATACTTTAGGATGTCAGCCTCTAGAACGAGATAATGAGATATCAAAGTCTTGGATATTCCTTGCGTCTTTTGGCTTGGTCTGTGTCTTGTGTCTGTGTCTGAGTCTTGTGTTTGAGTCTGGATCTTGTGTCTGTGTCTGTGTCTTGCGTCTGTGTCTTGTATCTTGTGTCTTTGTCTTGTTTCTTGTGTCTTGTGTCTTGTGTCGTCTTGTGTTTTGTGTCGTCTTGTGTCTTGTGTCTTAGTTTGTGTCTGTGCCTTGTGTCTGTGTCTTGTACTGGTTTCTGGTTTTTGGATAAATTATTTCGTAGCCTCTGTTACAGTTGGTCACTGGTCTCTGACATCAAAAGCACAATCATGGAACATGTTTGATCAGCTTATCATTAGTTAAATAACAAAAAGCTAGAGCATTACATTGACATGTTTGCCTAAATTTGAATCGCATTACTCAGAGTCAAACCTTTACATGCTAAAAATAGCTACATATAATGAATATATGTTCTCGATATCACTCACTTGTCATTTATCAATTATCGAATAGACAATTTGGTTACGTGATCAAATAATGAACAAAAATGCGATAAAAATGCGTATATTCTAATCTTTATGAATAATAAAAACGAAGAACTGCATGCACGTGAGGGAATAATTGAGTTCATATGGGAGAATCAAAGGGGAAGAGCGTATGAATGAGTATGAAATGCTCGTTGCTCTTTACGTTATTGCTATACGTAAAAGTTTAGTTTACTTGAAGTATCAGTCGCAGATAGAATATAATTTATTTCAGTCTCGAAATATTCGTTCAATCAATGGGGCAAGACATTAAAGATTTAGACTTAAAATATGACAGTGACTCTACAGCCTCAAATTCTATAATTGATGGATATAGTGGCAAAGAAATTGACATTAAGAACTCAATTTCGACCATAAGCACAATTGCATTCACAAGTTCATCGAATATTCAAATTGGAGATCGTGTTGTCTATAATGGACCTGTAACTATCAATCAGGACATCAATAATTTGGACACTGATGGCACAAAGCCTGTCATCAATAAGAAATTTCAAGTTTTTAAATTGAATCGAAGAACTATGTTTATAGCAGCTGGAGTGCTTGTTATTTTTGCATTGACATTATCTTTGGTGCTGACTTTCATGTGGGACAGCTTTAGTTCCTCATTAGCAGGTTCTATTCTTCCAGAATTGACAATAATATCTCGTGACGAATGGGGAGCAAAGCCATCGACAGAAAACATGGGAAATTTGACATTGCCATTAAAAATGGTCATCATAAATCATTCAGTCATGAGAAATTGCTATACGAAGGTAAATAAATGGGATTTTGGGAAGAACAAAATTAAGATTTGACTAATTTTGCAGAATAGCTGCGCAGAAAATCTTCGAGAAATGCAAGATGTTCATTTGGGTTGGAATTTTGGTGACATTGGGTTTAATTTTGTGATTGGGAATGATGGAAACGTGTTTGAAGGTAATTTTGTGGCTGAACATTTATTTGGAATTGTTTAAAAAAAATCGAATTTTTAAGGTGTTGGATGGGACACTCGTGGAGCACATACTGCAGGTGATAATTTATTTTATTCTATTTAGGACCAAACTGTGAGCTACGGCTCATTAGTGTGTCATAGAATTTTTTTGGAAATGACATGCTGTATGCGACTTCGATTATGGCTTACTCCTAAGGTGTGCCGTGGCTCAAAAAAGTTTGGACAGCACTGATTTTATGTTGACCAAAATATTCTCAATTAAGCTTTTAACTCCAAATCCATCGGGATATCTGTGAATGGAAATTTTAAATACGAAGTTCCTAACAAGAATCAAATAACAGCTTTAAATCTACTGCTTGAGCAAGGAATTGCGTTAGGAAAATTAACAGCTGATTATAAAATTTATGGCGGATGTCAATTTAAGGAAACAAGTAGTCCCGGTGAGGCATTCTATCAAATGATGCAAACTTGGGAGCACTGGTCGGATGTGATTGAATAAATTGGTGATTTTTTTAATTAAATGTTTTTACAATAAAAGTGGGATTTCTTTAAAACTAGCAATATACAGACTTTTTGAATTGGCAGTGCAAATGGGGAATTTACAATGTTATGTTGATTTTGAGTAGTTTTGCGGGTCTTACTAAGTTTCGCTCACTACAATCCTCATCTAAGGTTTCATACTTGAGCAATTTTTGTCAAAAATTTCATTCAAAATTGCTCAAGAACCAAAATTGAGAATCCAAAGAGAAAGAGATTCGATGAGCTTTAATCTGTCTACTCTTATAGGTTGTAAACATACATTCCGTAGTCAATTAATAGTATCAGTCAAAGCCAGTATGTTTTTCAATCACATCTTCGATTATCAGTAAATTATTTTGTGAATCACAAACAAAGTTTTTTTTTGATGGAGTTAAATTTAAGTTTGCATGATCTAGCTAGTACAATTTCGGACACAACTTACGACAGTGACTCGACAGCTTCGAATTCTATAATTGAGGAATATATGTGTAATGAATTAGATGGAAGGAATAAGCAGCATGCAAGTAATATTAGCACTATAGCTGTCTCTAGCTCCTCAAATATTCAAATTGGTGATCGTGTAGTTTATAATGGACCTGTAACGATTAGACAAGAGTTTACTGCGAAGGTTAGTGATCTTAAGGACGTTAATCTTAAGTCTGCGACTGAATCATCAGTTAAAAATATGAACAATATTCCTAAAAGACAGATTAGATGGAAGATATTCACTGTGCTTAGTTTATTAGTCTTTATGTTTGCATTACTTGTGATGTACATGCTTAATTTGAATTATAACGTTAACAACACAGCTATTGCCACAGCTAATACATCCACAATTCTATCTGAATCCTCGAACTCCTCAAAATTCAAACTTTATTCACGATTTGATTGGAGAGCAGCTGATCCTGACGGTAGCGTAGATCCATTCAATTTACCATTAAGTCGAGTCATTGTTTGTCATACTGTGATGAAAAACTGCTACACAGAGGTAAATTTAATGGATATAAATATTAAGAGTCCTTCATAAATGATGTATTTGCAGAGTTGTTGCATTCAAAATATGAAAGAAATGGAAAGACTTCATATGAACCTTAGATTTCATCATATTGGATATAACTTTGTTGTTTGTAATGATGGGAATGTCTATGAAGGTAAATTTTATTTCTTTGCAATGGCATAGTACCCAGAGGGTCTGAAACCCATCTACCCGTACCCAAAAAAAGGGTGGGGGATTCAGACCTTCCTGGATGCGCCTCTGATTTTCGAATGACATAATACTTTATCAAATGATTCAGACTTGGGAGCATTGGTCGGAAAAAATTTAAAATTTGTGATGATTTTGTAATTTTATAATAAAGAGTGAGAAATTATTCTGATATATAAGATTTATATTTGGGGATCGTTCATAAATGACGTCTGAAAAATAACACATAATGTCACCGTCTCCCCATTTCTGGGACGTCATTTATGAATGACCCATTTTATTGTCCGCATAGAAATTCATCATTGATAAGTTTGTTTATTAATTTTAACGTCATAAGATTTCAGTTACTATACTTTATTCAAAAAGGGGAATCCCACATAGCGATAGTTCTCATTCTTGCTCTGAGTGATTAAGAGAGCAGATATTTCAGTAGCTCAATATAAACTCAGAGATTCGAACACTAAGATGAAGTTTGCTTGACTTTTAATTTATTTGATTAATCTTTTGTTTTAGAAGGAGCGGGGGGGTTAAGTTAAGTGACGGTTTGAATAAAAAATATTTGTAAATACAAATTGAAGGGGGGGGGGGGGGGGGGGTTGAAAATAAAATATTTTTAAACATCATTTATGAAAAGATCCTAGGATCCAAAACCGATAATCCAATTTCAGGATGATCCCTAAAAATTTATTATTTCAAAAAATGCGCTTAGTCGATTTATGCTGGCTGACTTTAACAAAATTTCAGACTTAAACTATATTCTCTAGAGAAAAACTTTTTGATAACAAATTATGAGAAATGTGTTGATTCATTGGGAGAAATCCAAACATATGATTCTAGTAGTAAGTTTCAAACTTTAGTGTTTATTTAAGTTTAATTCAAATTTCAAATCAAAACTTCTAAATCAAACCTGTGCAATTTTTATCTAAAGTGATGGAAATGAATATAAAAAGAGTCAATTTAAGTGATGATTCAATATCGTCCAGTACAGCTTCAAATTCTGACATTGAGGAAAGAGTTGAAGTGATTCATCCTCACAATAATCAACCTCAACCAGAAAATTCAACTCAAATCTCTTCAAATATTAATTCAATTGGTGTTCAATCATCTTCAGATGTTCATTTTGGAAACAGAATAGTCTGCAATGGACCAGTTACAATTGCACAAACTAAGGAACACAATCACAAAGACAAGTCTGACGAGGAAAATTTAACAAATGATGTTGAAAAGAGAATTATTTTAAGATTAAAACGTTTTAAAATTTTGATATCATTAACTGGGCTTATCATTCTATTGACACTAGCTGCAACAATAATTGTAATAAAACTTCAAAGCATTGACACTCAATTGCCACAGACTGTGAATAAAAGTAGTAGAAATGACTCTTTAGATGTAGTTTTGAGAAGCGAATGGAATGCAAATCCACCGGCAAGAGACCCAAATTTACTTGAATTACCAGTAGACATTATTCTTTATGATTATATTGACATGCTTGATTGCTATACGAAAGTAAGATGACAACCGAAAGTCACACGGCGTAAAAATGGCTATAAATCTAGCGTTTATGCTGATCTGGACGTCAGATTCAAAGCTATTTTTAAGCCGTGTGCCTTTTGTGACATTTCAAAGATTTTCAAATAAAATTTATTTAACATCGTTCATCAGGAAGCTTGCGATAAGAATATCCAGAAAATTCAAAATGATTTTATAAACGCAAACAAATTTTATGACATTGGGTATAACTTTGTTATAACGAGGGATGGAAAAATATATGAAGGTAAAATTCAGTCGAACAATCTTAAATCAGTGATGGCCAACTCATGTGTCGCGGCATGCTAGTGTGTCGCGAAAAAATTCACGAAATTCTACGAATGTGTCTTACGATCAAGTTGTGCCGTGGCACAGAAAAGGTTGTCCGGCACTGGTCTAGAAGATTTTTAAACTTATTTAAACTTTAATTAACAGGACTTGGATGGGATTACAAAGGATATTATTCAACAGGTAGCTAGTTAAACTGAGCTTTGCTCATTTTTGATAACTCTGTTCATTTGAATGCATTTGATCCTTAGTCAGGGTTTCAGATCTCTTGGAGATTGCTATTTTTATTTTAAAAATATTCAGAAACCTCCAAAAATTTAAAATATCCGAGAAAAAAATAAGTGAATACCCTAGTCGGTGTTGTAGAAATCTGTGAATAGGAATTCTACAGTTTAATATAAGCCACAGCATGACTTATAATTTGCCTAGTTGCAGTTAATCCATAGTGACTCCTTCTTGCAAAAATTCTAGTTCCTTACATAATTCCGCTAGAAATCTCTAAGCTATTCATCAACTAAGAAACCAAGATTTCTAGCGCTCAATAAGCTCTTTAAGATCAATTAGGAGAGATTAGATCAATTTTAATTCATTGCCTCACTTAATGGCACGTAAAACTAGCTCTCTCGCTGGATACCATTTTCTAATTACCAATACCAAATGTAAAACTGCCTCTGTCAGCAGCTTCTTCCCAAGAGAAGCTCATCACATCCAAAATAATTTATTTTTCTAATATTGCTCTAAAAGGTGGAAATGACAACGTTTTAACAATCGGATTTATCTATGACTCATCAATTCTTGAGATGTCTACAGTCACCTATATTGAACTTCTAAAGCTTATTATTGAAGGACAACGACTTAGAAAGTTGACAAGTACTTTGAAAAGATTTAATGTTGAGAAGAGTTTTTATGCAAAGCCAATCGAAAAGATATTAGAAGAATTTGATTCGCATTTTGTGTGATGTGCAAGTTTCTAGTAGCAAGTTTCTAGAGCTACTCGGGGCACCTACTAGTGTAGGTTAAATTTTTTTCATATTTTATTATCGATTCCAGGGTAGGAAGTCCCAATAGCCTTAGAAACCGGGTTATAAAAAGACACTTAAGTATATACAGCTGTAAGCAGTCACCAGTCTGCAATACGACTGATAATTGCATTTAAAATAAATAAAAACCTTTTGATGCACTTAGGGGCCATTCACTTATTACGTAACGCTTTTAGGGGGAGGGGGGGTCTAAGATTTTGTTACGATTCAAACAAGGAAATTTTTTTTTCATACAAATTTTGTTACGAGGGGGGGGGGGTCTAAGAAGTCATTTTTTCGCGTTACGTAATAAGTGAACAGCCCCTTACTTAATTTTCTCTCTTTATTCCACACACAATAAAAGTTGGGATCAGCCACAAAGTAAATTGTTCACATCCAAATGGTCATTGATCACAAAAAAATTTGTTTGGGTTGTTTAAGCTTCTTCCCATTTCGTCTTTTGTTATCACGAATTTTTTTTTATAAATTTGTTTATGCTATTGTATTAATACGTGGGAGGAGATCTTGTCAAGCACGAATCGTCTCGCATTTCAGTCGGCATTCAGTGGCTAATAATACATAAAAATAAAATTTTATTTATTATTGTTAGCATGTGAAAAAAAAAGAAACAGCAAACAAGAATAAATAAGTGCAGAAGTTGAATATTTAAATTTAAATGAGCTCTGCAATAAACAAGCAAGCTACAACTCATATGAATGGAGATGATGTATGAAGAATGAGAGGGAAATCTTGACGTGTCTCGCTTTAATGAATTTCATTCATACATAAAAGAAATAAAGCAGCACTTCGCATGAGACATGTCATAAAGTTTCAAACACAATATTTTTTTATTTGTTACAGTTAATTTTGTTTGTTTGAATTCTTATGATGCTTGAGAGTCTAAGAATTTATGATGTAGAACATATTTTATATTGGAAGCTGAAACTATGCTGAATGTGCTAATGTTCTAGCGCCTTTTGAGTCAATAAATTGATATTTTAAACGTTTTATTGCTTCATTCTGTGCTGGTTTGTATAATAAGTTTGAATTTTTGGGATTTAGAGTAGTTGTTGGCTATGGTTTTGTAAATGACACTAGAATTTATTTAAGGCAGTTGTGGCCAACCTTTTTTTTGTGCTACGGCACACTTAGTGATTAGCCATGACCAAAACCGCACGCAGCACACCAGGGGGGGGGGGCCCGCCCCCCCTACGAAAATCTTATAATTGTTTTATTAAGTATTTATAGAGAAGAACCAGTTAATGTAGAGGAAGTGATGAAAGAAATGTCATAATCAGCACGAAAAATTAATTTAATGTATGAATAATGAATTAAATATTTAAACTTATGAAGAATGTATATAGATTTAAGGATTCAAAATAACGGTTTTTTAATTTTCGAAAATGGGCCCCCCCCCTCCCTTAAAAATTTTCTGGCTACGGCCCTGCAGCAAACCATTGGTTAGATATCTCAAGTTTTTCACGGCACACTAGTGTATAGGGTATTCTAGAGAGGGTCGAATAGGGTATCCTATGGTGACTCACCTTTTCTGGGTAGCGAGAAAGTGTTCTCCATGTCACTTAGGATATTCTAAGTTACTCTAGACCACCATAATAAAGAAGACCAGCCCTAGGGTAGGTGGGAGAATGACCTAAGTTCCGGGCGAGGGGATGCCTCGGGTAGCCTACCCAAAAGAAAAGTTTGAGGTCTTACCGATCTGATAGGCTCTTTTGAACCCCTTTTTAACATCCTGTCACAAAACTCTTACTTACTTATACCCAAAATATTAAGTTTCTCATTTAAATGTTCACAATAATTTACACACTTTTATTTTAATTTTACATTTCCAACTCTCATTGCGTGAAGCTTCGCATATACGATGTGTCCATAAACTTGATTAAATGTAGGTAGAACAATCTAATTTAGATTGAAGTTGTTGTGGATACGATCTTCGATGAGACATACGTGTACATTTATTACTACAGTATAAGAAGATGTGTTGCAAAAAACTATATACGTTGAAGTAGGAAGGAAACAATTGAGTGTAATGAGGAGAGATGAGGCATTTTAATGATCATATTACTTTTATTATTATGTCATATAGATACAATGCCATTGTCACAAATACGAATATATTCTGTATGACCCTGAAAAATTTTTTTTAAGTAAATAAATAAGAATTTGCAGATGTCAAAACGAGGTGCTTTTTACTGTGTCATTTAAGGAATTTTACATGCAATAATGTTCCACGTGTTTAGTCATTCTATAGCTATACATATAAAATTTCTTCGTCTATTGCCATTCCAGTACGAAATAGATGGAGCGAAAGGAGGCAGAAAGAATATTGAGATCACGTTTCAGGAGGGATTTTCGTCTTGGTATCATATTTTAAGTGGAAAAATTATTACATTTTCGTTGCCTGTCATGCCAATATTTACATTCTTAAAGATGAACTTGCTATGTTGCTTTTAAAGATACCGACAGAGAAAATAAAACTTATTTTATACATCGTATCACATAGCATACAGGTTAATGTAATAAATATGGTTCAAATGATTTTTCTATCATCAGATTTTTATTTGGCAAAAAGGGAAGGAATATTGTCGTCATTGGATTAGTGTTCAATTTGATGGAAAGTTGCTGCTCACCATAGAATACTAGCTTGTGAATATACAGACAGTTAATAATAATTCTGAATGATGCTTGACTGTGATTTTTCTTTTCATGAATGTTTTTGAGGGGTTGGATGTCAGTGACGTCAGTTTGAAAATGGATTTTTAGGACATTCTTACTATTGAGTATTGAACAACCGCCTCAATTTGAACTTATCTTCAATATTGTTTTTCATTGTATTGGATGTCTTTGCAGTTTTTGTTCAAATAAAACACTTAAGTTGATAATGACAAGTTTCGAACCTACACCTTTCAAGTTAGCTTATCAAATTTGAATCCAGAGTCTTACAGACTCGTCAACAAAGGATCTTAATTATTTATTTGATCACAAAGCAAAGAGCCCTTGCTACTACTTGACATTACACATTGTTTTTTCGTTATAAGCTCCTACTCGTTACTAAGCTACTAGTCATCCAAAGAATTTATTTTTTTTTACTCTTTTAAGCTACTAGCTTATAACGAAAAAAACAGGGGAGCAAAAAATTATTAAGGTGCCCCTCCACTTAGAACGTTGAATTTTTTGGTTCTTCCAAAAGAAATTGACCAAAAACCTTGAGAGGGTCTAAAAGTCTTGAAGAGGGGATCTAAAAAAGGGTCGTTCACTTGTGAATTCCGAAATTAATGGTCATTTTTCAAAAAAGAACAATGGATTTCCAGGAATTTCTATTGTTCTTTTCTTGATGACCCTCCCACCTCCTGGACGTAATAACTGAACGTCTCTAAAGGGGCCGTTCACTTATGACGTCCGACATTTAAGGGGAGGGGGGGTCTAGGATTTTGTGACAATTCAAAGAATGGAAATTTTTTTCTGTAGAATTTTTGTGACAGAGGGGGGGGGGGGGGTCTAAAAATCAGATTTTTTGATGGACGTCATAAGTGAAAGTCCCTAAAGTAGTTTGATTACAAATTGTAATAAGTTCCCATGTTCCCCCTCTATATTTAAATCACATCATTCACAATCGACCCACCATTATTTCTCTTCTTCTGAGAAATATTCCCCTTCTTTTCTTTGATGCCCTGCCTCATGTCTGAAATGATTTTTCATCAGATTCTTCTCTCTTTTTTCATTTTTATCGAAAAGTCTTATGAAGATTATGATGGATTATTTTCTAATTTTTTATGGTCGTTTGTGTATGCGGGAGAAGATTCTTATTTTGAGATTTAATGTATTTTAGATAGATTTTGATTGTTTTGCGTTGTGTGAATTTTTGATCAGTTGGTGGAGTTCATGAGGATTTTTTGAGATTTGAACCTTAAGCGTGATGCTCAATTTTGATGTGTCAGGAGTGAAGTTTGTTATTTTTAAGGGGAGGTGATGTTATTAATCTCAATAATTGGCAGAATCACGAGTCCGCTGAAAACGCTGTGACTTGTAATGTTGGTCAGGCTTTTCAGACATCCTAAACGTCATTTGTGAACAATTTACATCCAAAAATACAAGATTTATTATGTTTCATGAACAAACTAAGCATCATCATCCCCTTAAAGATTCCATCTGACATAAATATCTTTAAAAATACTTCCAAGCCTTCCTCTTTCTACAATCTTTCAGAAAATAAAGTCATTCATGACGCAACACACCGTAATAACAATAATAATGTCAGGCAAAAAAAAATGAAAGAAGCAAGAAAAAGTATTTTAAAGCCATTGCAGCGAACGAGAAATCACCAGAAATTGCTTCATCGTGCTCTGAATATTAAATGAGTTTGATAACATCTTCTTATTGTTATGGAAGCATTTCCTCATACTAAATGACTGTCGAACCGCAACAGAGCAGCAAACTTTGTCAAATAACAATAAAAACCCTTTATTTTTTTATGCTGCCAATAAGTTAATGATTCATTTAGTGAATCTGAATTGATGATAATGAAGACTTATCGCCACAATCTGTCAATCAGTAATCATTATTTATTGGCACAAAAGGGCACATTTTTATTCAAATAAATTGGCCTATTGTGAGGTAAAATTGAGCATGGTATTAAGTAATAAATGATTGAGGTTAAAAATTTTAATTAAAATATCTGAACTTCGGAAGTTTGCGTATTGATCTTAGTGATCCTAGACTTAACGTTATTGCACGCTTCTCACATAATCTATTCATGTCCAAATTCAACATTAACTCTATTATAATTATGTGGATATTTTATTCGTATCGAATGAATAATAAAAAGGCTACATTTAATGCCTTTTCATCCATTCATCGCCATCTGTTTCTCTCTCGTTCTTATTCGTGAATCATCATCAATTGCCATAAATTGCTTTTATTTTAAATCGAAGGCACTATTCGATCGTCAATTCATTTCAATTCTCTTTATTTATTTTTCGTGTTCTATGTTCTTTATGCTTAATATTTTGTTGTTGTTCCTTTTATGCGTGTTCATTTTGTGTAT